CGCAAATCCCCGCCCTTGACCTGCTTGTCACACTGCTTTGGATGCAGCCCAGGATACAGCTGGCTTTCTGGGCTGTGAGCACACATAACAGAGTCACGTTGAGCTTCTCGTCGACCAGCACCCCCAAGTCCTTCTCCTCAGGGCTGCTCTCTGTCCATTCTCCCCCCACCGTGTACTTGTGCTTGGGATTGCCCTGACCTGTGTGCAGGACCTTGAGCTTGGCCTTGTTGAAGCTGATGAGGTTTGCATGGGCCCATCACTCAAGCCTGTCAAGGTCCCTCTGGATGGCATCCCTTCCCTACAGCGTGCCAATCGCACCACACAGCTTGGTGTCATTGGCAAACTTGCTGAGGGTGCACTCAATCCCACTGTCCATGTCACTCACTGACAAAGATGTTAAACAGTGCTGGTCCCAATACCAACCCCAGAAGAATGCCACTTGTCACCGCTGTCCACTTGGACATCAAGCCACTGACCACAAAGCTTTGAGTGCGATCATCCAGCCAATTCCTTATCCACCGAGTGGTCCATCTGTCAAATCTGTGTCTCTCCAATTTAGAGACAAGGATGTCATGCAGGGACGTGTGCTTTGCAAAAGGCCAAGTAGAAGACATCACCTACTCATCGCTTATCCACCAACACTGTAAGCCTGTCATAGAAGGCCACCAAATTTGTCAGGCACAATTTGTTTTCAGTGAAACCATGTTGGCTGTCACCAATCACCTCCTTATTTTCCATGTGCCTTAGCAGAGTTCCTAGAAGAATCTGCTCCATGATCTTGCAGGGCAGAGGTGCAGCTCTCTCACCTGTAGTTCCCTGAGTCTTCCTTTTTTCCCTTTTTAAAAATGGGGCTCATGTTACCCCTTTTCCAGTCAGTGGGAACTTCCCCGGACTGCCACGACTGCTCCAATATGATGGACAGTGGCTTAGTCACTTCATATGCCAGTTCCCTCAGGACCCATGGATGCATCTCATCAGGTGTCATGCACTTGGGCACCTTCAGGTTCCTTAGATGGTCTCAAACCTGATCTTCTCCTACAGTGGGTGGTTCTTCATTCTCCTAGTCCCTGTCTCTGCCTTCTGTGACTTGGCTGGTCTGGCTGGAGCACTTGCTGGTGAAGACTGAGCGAAAAAAGTCATTGAGTACCTCAGCCGTCTCCATATCCATGGTAACCAGGTCTCCCATTTCCTTCTGGAGGGGGCCCGCATTTTCACTAGTCTCCCTTTTATCACCAACATACCTATAGAAGTTTTTCTTGTTGTCCTTGACATTGCTGGACAGATTTAAAGCTATTGGGGCTTTACTTGGCTGCTCAAACAATTCCCCTATATTCCTCCCAGGCTACCTGTCCTTGATTTCACCCTCTGTAGGCTTCCTTTTTGTATTTGAGTTTGTCCAGGAGCTCCTTGTTCATCCATGCAGGCCTCCTGGTGTTTTTGCCCAACTTCCTCTTTGTTGGGATGCATTACTCCTGAGCTTGCAGGAGGTGATCCTTGAATATTAACCAGCTGTCTTGGGCCCCCCTTCCCTCCAGGGCTTTACCCCAAGCTATCCTACCAAGCAGCCCCCTGAAGAGGCCAAAGTCTGCTCTCCTGAAGTCCAGGGCAGTGAGCTTGCTGTGCATCTTCCCTGCTGCCCTAAGGATTTTGAACTCCACCATTTCATGGTTGCTGCAGCCAAGGCTGCCCTTGAGTTTCACATCCCCACCAGCCCCTCCTTGCTGGTAAGAACAAGGTCCAGCATAGCACCGCTCGTCGTTGGCTACTCTACCACTTGGAGAAGGAAGTTATCATCATTGCATTCCAGGAACCTCCTAGATTGCTTATGCTCCGCTATGTTGTCACTCCAAAAGACACTGGGGTGGCTAAAATCCCCCATTAGGACCAGGACTTATGAATGTGAGGCTGCTTCTATCTGTCTATAGAGGGCCTCATCTGCTCGGTCTTCCGGGTTGGGTGGCCTGTAGCAGATCCTCACTACAATGTCACCTGTTCTTGCCCCCCTTTTAATCCTAACCCATAAGCTCTCAGTAGGCTCCACATCCATCCCCAGGCAGAGCTCCATGCACTCCAGCTGGTCACTGACATAGAAGGCAACATCCCCTCATCATCTCCCCTGCCTGTCCTTCCAAAAGAGCCTGTGTCCTTCCATTCCAACATTCCAGTTGTAGGAGACATTCCACCATGTCTCCATGATGCTAATAAGGTCATAGCCCTGCAGGCGCACACACATCTCTAATAATGAAGCAGGTTATCTTAATACAATAACCAGTTTTCATAGAAATGAACAAAAAGGTCAGAGGAGTCTCTCACAAACCCTCCAGCAGCCACCTTCTGGTGTTGCCAGCCACCAGTTCAGCATTAAACAGAACAAATGCAATTTCTGTGATGGCAGCTTCTAGCAGAAGGTAGGTGCTTCCAGGCACAGAGAGGAGCAGAGCTTCCCTTGTGCGGTGGGGAAAGTGAGTCTGACCCAGATGGTTGTTGGAAAGTTAAACTCTGATGTGCAATTCTTGGCAAACCCAGGAGTTTCTCAGCTGTAATAATGCTCAAATGGAGGCATACTTCTCCACTTAAAATAGGTCTATTTACTGTGCCTCAAAACTGCTTTTGCACTGACCAAACAATACCCTTTCTTATGCAAAAGCCATTCAAATTTATTATGGGTTTACAGTAGGCATTCAAAAACGACCATTAGTGAAACTACCATCAACTGTAACCTACCACAGGACTACTGGAGGAGCTCTGAAACTGTTTGGAAGAGATTTTACCTGTCATTAAGAAAACTCTTGAAAAATATCACCAATAATCTTGTTTTATCTTCTGGATTTTACCTTTACTTGTGCTTTGACTTCTTGGAGCATAGCAGCAATGTCACATTTTGGTACTACTGCTGACAAAACAGATTGCAGTTTTTGCTGGTCCAGGCTTGAGATGAGCAGCTGATCCAAGCTAAAATGAACAGAAAAATATGACAGTCAGCTTTATATTTCTAGCCCTTGTAAAGATATGTTTCAGGTACACAATATAGGTTGTATTAGGGTAAACAGTGAAGGGCCAGCTCATTAACAGGCAGAAATCTTGAAAATAGAAGAAATGGTGTATGCTGGGAGAACGGGAAGGGGTAGAAAAACAATTTAAGAATAACTCTGAAAAATCGTTCCCCATTCTGTTTCCCTCCTCCCTCTCCAATGGTTTTAGCAATAGACATTAACAAAAACAAGGAGACAGATCTGAAGACTGCTTCTGGCATTTGTCATTTGTCACCGCAGGCTGTCCTGGCAGCCAGCGCTGCGCAGCCTGCCTTCCACAGCGGCTGCTGTGCTGTAACGTGGCCAAAAACTGACCAAAACTAGCTAGAGGGGACACAGAAAAGGAGCCCGGTCCTGACAGGATAAAGTGTTTCACCCTGTTCTGAAGCATGGCTGCCACCAGACAGCAGCATGGTGGCTCCAAGTGATCAAAAGCATGAAGAATGCACTCTGAATTGTGAGTGGAATGGGTGCTGGGGCCAAAGCTGAAATGTGCTTTGAGGTGGACCTGGGGCAATGGGGAAGCTTTGCCTCCGGAGAGGCTTGTGGGGATGAAAACGAAACGGTGGTAGCAAAGCTGACACCAACCTGATGGACCAGTTGTTTTCTGAGTGTCCCCCATCCACAGAGCTGCCATGGGGCATGTCATCATCCGAGGCAGACCCCGGTGTCCCCGAGCCGCTGTCCCGAGGGCTGCTGGCACCCATTCCCATCCTACCCGCCTCAGCAAGGCCGCAGCGGGCTGGCGGGGCTGCGTCACTCTGAGCAGGCATGCCGAGGGTTCTGCGGGGTGTGATTTCCAGCTCTGTCTTGAAGCAGGTGGGCTGCGACGGCCCCGAGAAGCCCTCTCCACATAGCTTGTCCAGGTCGGGCATGCTGAGAGCTCTCAGTTCCCGCAGCCTGGAGCGGGACAGTGGTGGCCGACCCCTCGTGTCTGTGAGGCCGAGGGTGGAAAGGCGGCCATGTCTGATCCAGCACCACCCTCCTCACTCCTCTGAGGCTTTCCTTGCCCCTTGCCGCCCTCTGCCACATGCGTGGGCTCTGTGCTGGTGGGGGACTTGGCCATGGTGTTGGCTGGGCTCGGGCTGCCGCCGTAGGAGCTCAAGCTGCGCCGCAAGGCCCGCGGCATCTCGGTGGGGCTAGCTGTGGTGGCCATCCCACCACATGACCTCCTGGTGAGGGGGGACCTCGCAGCTGAGTGTATATCGATGGCCTTCATGATAGGCCGGTCAAAATTTGCCAGGTTTTCAAAGGATTTGATCCTCTGTTTGACGGAGAAGGATGAGGTAGGTTCATGTGGCCAGTTCAGCTCATAGTAGTAGTAATTCCTCCTGAAGCTCCTCAGCTTATCGGTGGTGGGACAGCTGACGTCACTGGCTGAGGGGGACATATCATGGACCCTCTGGGTGCTTTTGGAGGTGTACGCCTGCTCCTTCCCACTCTGGCCATTCGGCACATTCAGATGGACCATCTTTAACATCCCTGTTGCTGTCTGGGGGTACTTCTCCTCTGCAGCATGGCCCTCGGGGCCTCGCACAGGATGAACCTCTGCAATACGGCAGTCCTCCCTCAAATGACCCGATAACTGAGCTGGCATTGAGTAAGTCCTCGTCACAGGTTTCAACATGCCACAGAGATTTCTGTCTCCGGTGGTGTCTGCTTTTGAGAAATATTGCATGGTCCCCATCTCCTCAGCCATCTGAGGCACTTCTGCATTCACCTCTTCTGTTTTCTCCAGCAACGGCAGCTGCAAAAATGATGCTGGTGATGAAGAGGCAGAGGAGGAGGAGGAAGAGGACAAGGAGGAGGAAAGCTTCACCTCAATGAAAGTGCGCTGGATCTCTTGACCTTCCTGCTGTTCCTGATGAACCGAGGGGGACCTCAACGAAGAAGAGCCTCCAGCAGATGGTGCTACATTTTGCAGATCCAACTGCCTAAGGTCATCTGTGCTATGGATGCTCTTGATTGCGTTCAGGCTTGTTCCAGGGTTCTCAGTCCTCCCTTTCACATATTCAACTTTTGGTATCCCCTGAGGAGATGAAGTGACTTTGGACTGACCGTCTCTGGCTCTGAAATCATCCACCTTAGCACCCTTACTCTGACACACCACAGGCTTTTCTTTTGGCTTTCCCCATGCTTGCTGCAGGTCTGTTAGCTGCCCACAGCCACAATTCATTTCACCACTCACTGTTGGGCTGCTGGTGCCATTCAGGAGAGGCAGAAGTGAATCTCCAGAAATGACCAGAGATGGTTTACTTTCTGTCTCTGACTTCAGAGTCCTTGAGGCTGCTGAAATGCTCTTGCTAGGATCTGAGTTTGTAGGTGAATTACGGGACAACGGTGTTTTCTTCCCCAGAAGTTTCGGGGACAGCTGTGGAGAAACAGAAGCCCTTTTCTGATCAGCCCCAAAGACTTTGGTAGGATTAATGCCAGAAGAATCCATATTTGCCTTTGCTTTGCTTTTGATGGTGAACCCTTTTAGTTTTGGTCCTGCTTTGGCCTTCTGATTATTTAAAAGGGTGTCCATTATACTTTTTTGTGCCATTCCCTTAGACTCCTGACAGGATTTTTTCTGCAAGGATGGGCTGTGCGGTACTGCAGCTCCTTTGCAGTGATTTGTGCCTGAGCTTTGGACTTTTCCGTTTGAAGTCCTTCCTGAAATCATAGAGTTAATTTTCTCATTTTTCCCTGGCAAGTCATGAGTTGTATTAGCCTTTGGATCTTTAGATTTAGTGGGAAAAGGAGACCTGAGTGATACTGCTCTTGATGATGATGCATTCACATGATTGCTGTCTGTTTTAGACAAGTTGGACAAACTGTTGGTTTCTTTCTTCACTGAGCAATAACTAACAGCATGATCACAAATATCAACCATTGTTTCGCTTTCAGATTGGGATCTCTGCTCACCATCATATCCTTCTTTCTCAAGCAAGTTGTTCTCCAAGCTATTGACATTTCTAGCAGAACAAAAGCTTGTATTTTTGCAGTGCAGAGACCCTTCCTCTCCAATGGATTCACAGCATTTCATATGCTTGTTACTGTTCCCCAAACCCATCTGTTCTTCTGTACTTAAGGCACCATTGTTACACAAAGAGTAAACTTCAGGGATACTGCCTGAATTTTTTAGGATGTCTTTTTCTGGCAGGAAAACTGAGGAAGGAGAACATAAGGATGTAGAGGACACATCTGAACATTGTGAGGGACATGGAGTGGGACCACCTTGATCTTCCAAGCCTAGTTTGTTGATGCTTGTCTCCAGTGACCCACACATTGCACAGTCCTCAGTTTGCAAAGCTTTGCCACCATGAGGTTGCAGTACAGACAGAGAGGATGAGGTTGTAGCAGATATGAGATGCTGCTCCTGTGCAGGCTTTTGCAGCTCATTGTTCACGCAACAAATCTCAATTTGCTCCTCATCCGACTCCATTACAGTATAGACTGCAGGGATGTTAGCAGCAGCAGCAGCAGCGCACGGCCCAAGCAACACCTCATTAGCACTATCAAAAGTTTCCGTGACAGACTCTGTGTCCGAGTGAGAATCCTCCGCAGCCCCATACATAGACTTTGGAAACGGGTCGCTTCTCTTACCTTCCAGAGAATTTGCTGCAGGCAACTCATCCTCATTTAAACTGCTAAAATTCCTAGAATAGTTATTTAAAGAGTTTTTATTCACAGTAAAAAGCTTGCCTGTGTTAATGGAGTCCAAAACAGACAGCCCCAAAACCCCTTGTGCGTTAGCTCCGCAATTCACATTTTTTTGCTGCAGGTCCTCCTTGGCTGCTTGTGGCTCAGAACCGGGACAGCCTTCATCAGTCCCACAGCAGCACATCGTAGTGTACTCATCTCGGAGGGGGCTTTCCGCTCGTGACGGAGTGCGTGAAGCCCTGCTCTCAGGAGCACCCATTTGGCTAAGCAAATCATCGATGTCAGTGACTGGGATGGCAGCGCAGTCCTCAGCGCGGCTGCTTTTCATGGTACCTCTTTGCACGTCTTTGCTGGTGGCATCGGGTGGCAGTGTTGTTCTCTCCACCGCACAGCTGCCGCCAGCATTTCGCAAACCTCCTCCTTCTCGCTTCCCGGCATTCGATTCTTCCTCAGTTGTGAGGACGCTGTTGACATCGGTCTGATTTTGACTGTCTACCCCTGGAGACAGGATGAGGTTTGTAAATCTGCTGACAGCTGCATCATGACAAAAATAAATAAAAATAAGCAAAATCCTGTCAGATATAGGAAGTGACATACAAAAGACTAGGTTTTATTACAAAAATAGACACCCACTTAGTCAGACTACATGTTTTCCTTTTGCTCTACACTCCTCTTCTGTAATGATGTTTACAACAACTCAAATTAATCATAACCCTGTGTATTTGAGTAGCACACAGAAGGGAGCAATCCACTTATCCCAGGTAAGTACTCATCACCTCTTTAATTCTCATCTTTGAAATTTCAGCAGTCAAGCAGCCAACTACCAAAGTGTCAGCGTGCAGTAAGTCAGGCTGAGCAGTACTGCTTCTCGTTACTTGTTTGATCGAAGATAGTCTCCAACAGATTGCAGACAGTACCCAAGCCCTGGCATAGCAAACAAAGGTGAACAGATAACACAGTCATGAGCTGTGCATAAACAACTTGACTTTGAATCTCTCGGCACTTCTGCAGGTGTTTAATGTGACATGCATGGGCAATGTTATGCACACATTAAGCATATGGGCTTTACAGGATTTCTGGCACAGACCTTTCCTTACTTCCAATACATGTTTAACCCACTGTTGGGCAACACACTGAGCAACACCACTGCACTCTGACGCATTCCTGTTCACCCATTTCTCCAGTTCTTCAATTTTCAGCACTTCACCCTAAGCATCTGCTTGCACCTTTCTACACTGCTTGCTTCTGGGACACGCAGTCCCCCTTCAAGCTGCCTTCCAGAGGCCAGTTACTATCAGAAAATCACAGAATCATAGAATCGTTATGGTTGGAAGAGACCTCAAAGATCATCAAGTCCAACCTTCCTCCCAACGCCACCATGCCTGCTAAACCCACTAAACCATGTCTCAAAGCGCCACATGTAAACGTTTTTTGAACACCTCCAGGGATGGTGAGTCCACCACCTCCCTGGGGAGCCCGTTCCATTGCTTAACGACTCTTACAGTGAAGAAGTTCTTCCTAATGTCCAGCCTGAACCTCCCCTGGCACAACTTGAGACCGTTTCCTCTCGTCCTCTCGCTAGTTACCGAGGAGAAGAGACCAACCCCCACCTCACTACAACCTCCTTTCAGGTAGTTGTAGAGGGTGATCAGGTCTCCCCTCAGCCTCCTCTTCTCCAGACTAAACACCCCCAGCTCCCTCAGCCGCTCCCCATCAGACTTGTGCTCCAGCCCCTCCACCACCTTCATTGCTCTTCGTTGGACATGCTCCAGCAGCTCAATGTCCTTCTTGTAGTGAGGGGCCCAAAACTGAACACAGTATTTGAGGTGCGGCCTCACCAGTGCAGAGTACAAAGGGACGATCACTTCCCTAGTCCTGCTGGCCACGCTATTTCTGATAAAGGCCAGGATCCTGTTGGCCTTCCTGGCTACCTGGGCACACTGCTGGCTCATGTTCAGCCAGCTGTTGATCAACACCCCCAGGCCCAGAAAGTGCACGAAGAAGGAGGGGTGCATTCACAGAGACAACAACCTTTCCTGCTCATTCAAACATGCCAGCACACCTCTCTAATCTGTGTACAAACCTGTGGGATTATCCACACCACTTAACTCAGGCACCCATGTTAAGAAGTGCAGATTCCTCCTGGAGTCAACAAAGGGGAAGACATCTCAGAAGAGCATTTGAAGCAGCCAGGTTAGATATAAAGTACTGCCCTGCTTCAGCATGCTGGATCACACACTGAAGAGACCCTCTTCTCTGCCTGTGGGACAGGGCGAGGGGAAGGGTAAACAGAAGAGCTGCCTTATGTAAGAGTGCCAATGTGCCCCTACTCCGATGCTATTAGTTTGCAAAAGCCACAGCAATCTAAGGAAGCAAGAACCAGACTCTGCCAAGCCAGGAATTCCTCAAAGAACAACTGGAACTGAAGCATCTGGAAGCACTTTAGGCTCCCAGGTATTAATAGGTACATGAAGAAGATCATAAGCTAGAATGAAGCAAAATATTGTGTTCTTCCTGAATTTTAGAAGTATGCTTTTCTTTTCCAAACACTCATTTCCACACCACATAATTTGTACAGTCCGTGGGGACGCATATATTGCTGTAGCAGCATAAATCAGCCCCAAGCAGAAAGTAAGGAGGTATCAAATATTTCAACTCAAACTAGAAAACTTTTTTATAAGAAACATGCAAATAAACATTTTGATAAGATTTTGGTTTTCTTGAGTTTTCTGTTTCATCTTTCTGCACATTATAGAATTCTGATATACAAAAGGGAAAGAAAAAAATAAAAGAGGCTTTTATTATCTCATTGTCCATTCATAAGAACATTACTTAAACTTCAGATTTAAGGGAGACGTGATTATAAAGTGTCAATATTTTTACCGAACAGGTACAGCAGTAAAATGGGTTGTCAGGACAGGGTCGCTGCTGAGTTAGCTCCAGGTCTGCAAAAAATGAGTCAGACCTCTGCAAATGCTGGTAGGCAAGACATACTATAAGTGGGAGCTTTGAATGCATCACACAGGAGTAGGCTTGCTCCCCTCATTGTGGTGCCAGGGAGGACCTGGAAGCCCAGTTTGGTGATGAAGTGTTTTGCCTAGCTCACCAATGCAGACACAATGTACCCCCTGTTTTTAATGTGAATCGATGTGGGAAGCTGTGGCAGCAGCAGATCAGACCCAGCTGATCCAAGGGAATTTTCTTCACCAGTACTCAGAATAAAGGGTATGAAAACAAAACTACTCTCTCACCTGATGCTGCTTTCTGGATCTCCAGGGTTACAGATGTGGGAAGACACTGCATAAGCAAGCAGATTTCCTCGTACGTCATCTTACTGACTGGGATACTGTTGATGGTGGTAATCTCATCTCCTACAGCCATCTTGCCCATTGATCCCTGATGCAATGACAGATTCAAGAAAATTATAAATACACATCAGAAGCCCTGCCAGAGGGGCAAAGATTGCAAGGAAGCAATTAATGGCTTATGAGCAACATTCCCTATTTCACCACACTGCAGAGCACAGGTACCACTGCTGTCAGTTTGTCAACACGTAAATAAAGAGCAGACTGTGCATTTGCCAGGAGAAGAATTAATGATCAATCTCAAACAGGAAGGTCAAAAGAGCTGCAGGTTTCTCTGAGAGATCAGTATCAGGATGGAGGACATAGTCCTCTTCATTGAAATGAACTGTGATGAATCAGCCCTAGCTTCTTCAGGACTGGAACACTGTCTATCATTTTTGCATTTCATTTATGAATTACATTCCTGGTCACAACCTCCCATTGGACCAATGGGACTCTCATAAATAACTAAATTGGACAGGGATTCAGCTCTTAAGGTAAAAGCCTAAGTATGTTTCGAAACACTTCACAGTCAGTAAGGCCTGCTGATACCTGATTTGTGTAACACAGGAATACGTGCATATAAAATAATACGCTGTAATAAACAGTATTATTGCAAATATTATTATAAATCCACCACGATTTACTTATTTTGTCTTTGCCCCGGTAAAAAGAAAGGAAACAAAGAATAGCATTCCCTCAAAACTTTGACTATAAGTGGGGATGAGTCCATCTCAGAAGATCTGCCTCTTGATTTTCATAGTTTTGAATCAGCCAGGGTGCACTTCTGAATCAGAAACATTTCATTTAACAGCAGTTTCAGAACAATATGAGATGAGACATTTTGCCCTGCGCAGACAAACAGCTCCCTTGCACTTACTTGCAACAGATCACCTGCTTACTACTACTACTAAATAATCTCTGTAAAGTGAAAGCAAATCACAACAAGGCAATCCAAATCAAAAAATTACCATTTCTGCTGCTCCACCTGGCCGCAGCCCTGTGACAACAACCTTTAAGGGCATCGCCTGGATTTCCAAATCCAGGCCAAATGACTCGTGCTCATTGCGAACCAGAGTGACTATTTCACCCTGGCCCTGCCCGGCACAGTCAGGTGCTTCACACTTCTTGCTGTGAGGGAGCGTCCTCGCAACAGGTTTGTTGTAAGAGCCATGCTCCTCTATCCTCTGTCTCTGAAGGCTTCGGCACTCAGTGCTCATCATGCTTTTCACTCTCGTGACTGCTCTGTGCTCGAGTCTTGGAGATTTCTTAGATTCGAGTTGTGCTTCCCGGAGCTCCTTCAAACTCAGGCTGCCAAGACGAACTTCAGGCACACTTGAGTAATCGAATGCTATGATGGGGAAGAAAGGAGAGTCAATTTGCTCCAGCGTGCTGTCCGCTGACTCAACAGAGTTGCTGAAGACAGGGGAGGATGTCTCCGTGCCACTACATCTAGGTGACTCGCTCTCTTGGCTCTCATCATCAATTTCTGCAGACGAGGTTGTAATGACAATGCCAGTGTCCTCCTGGCTCTTGGCTCTCTGGCTTCTTTGCAAGTAGGAACTTTCATCGTCATCACTAACATCACCATCGTAAAAAACAACCCTCCTCTGTCGATGAAAGGGGCTGCGGGCAGATTTCGGGCTGTCGCTGAGGATGCCAGGTCGGACAGACTCCACATGCTTGTTGTGAAGGCTGGATGATCTCCCACTAGTTGGAGAAGCCAGGCCATTTGCTTTTGCCACTCCCGCTTCTCTAGCAGCTAGAAAAAAACAAGCTATACTTTAATTGCATCCATAAATGATTTTTAATACCATGCATCTGACTGCAGCAGAGTACACGTGGCTCCGTTTGCAGGAGAAGCTTAATCTTTCCTCACAGAGCAAAAAGCAGGTTTTTCATGTCCACCTTCTAACTACAGTAAACAGCAAGAGGGATAGCACATAATGTTATAACTTATGGTTAATTCCCAAAATCAGTTCACGGCACATTTGATTCTACTTTCAGTTTATTTCTAAACTGTGACTATGGCCCCAAAAATAGAGGGATGCAAATTCACATGTGTATTTTACTTTAAACAACATAATTTCTTTCACCTTTTGCTTAAATCTATGCTCTGGACTGCCTGTCTCACCTTACAGAGAGTGAAAAATGCTCTCCTGAACAAAGACACAAGCACACGACAATCAGTTTCAAATTAAAGACTAATAAACCCAAGAATCCTTTCCACATCCTTCTTAGAAAGAACCTCATCTTATTTTGTAGAAAGTTTTTTTGTTTTGCTTTGGTTTGTGGGCGTTTTAAAATGTAAAAATGGTTTTAAGCATTAAATAAATGAATTTCCAGAGAAAAATAAGCTGTAGACAAAGACACTACTTGAGAAGCATAGGAAAGGGAGAACAAATGTAATATCCTTTGAGTTTGAGATCAGGCGCATGTCAGTAAGGAAACATAAAGATACTTTCAGTCAATTACAATGGGAAGACACACATATATGCAAAATATCTGATGTCAAATTGAACATTTGATTGTCTTTACACTGCTATATGTGATATTTTGAAATTTTACATTTGAGAGCTATAAACACTTTCATTTAAATGTAATCAATCAAATGATCATCAGTCATTTGAAAAAAAACCCTGCAGTGCTGTCAATCTAGTTTTGGCCAAACCAATCAAAAAGTCATTTTCACATAATCAGAGCAGCAATTTGGACAAAATAGCATGGAAACAGTCATTTATGTGCACTGTTGTAAACCCCTTCCATTTTCCAGAATTTCACATGATTAGCATTGGCTTGCACTACACTGCCAGGCACGTCTTACCAGCAGAGGAATCACTGTAGCTCTCCTGTAGAGCAAATCAGCGCTTAGTGACTCTCCCCCCACTAGCCAAATGACCAGACATATTTCCATTGCTTACTCAGGTTGCCAGGAAGAAGAGAGCCATCATCCAACAAACTGTTTCTGTTCTTCTGACGGAGCTGCTCTTCACTGCAGGAGCCGGTTACAGCATCAGAAAACGGGAGCTGGCTCGTACCATCGTGTGAGAAATACTGGGAAAGCTCTGTCTCAGAGCTGACAGATCCCTGCTGAAAAGAAGTGAGCCTGGTGACCACCCGTCATCGATGATGAAAACCTCTGACTGTGTGCATTTTTAGGCAGTATAATAAAAAAAATATTCCAAATCCCACTACTTTGCAGGTGGGGTTCAATGCGGAAACAAGGGATGAACCCATTCACTTGTGTAATTCCCTTTATACAGCATCTGCACTGAGAGAAGGGAAGGGTTTGTACCTCTGGACACAGTTTGTATGGCGTCTTTGGCTTTCCCGGGAAAACCAGAGACTTTCTACTGCAATGGCTATGCAGAGAGGCCAAGCGCTCAGCCTTGGGCCCACAGGCTCAGGTCTCTCCTGCTAATTTCACCTCTGTGTCTCACAGAGCAGGGGTGCCTTTGAGGTGGCAGGAGGTGGGAGCCCACAGCTTGCTCTGCCATGCTCTACACATCGCTCTCAAAGGTTATAGCCACACAGAGGAACAGGAGCTTGCTGCTGTCATGATTTAAAAGTGTGATGTAGGAAACAAACCCTTTTATAGAGCCCATGTGACAGGCAAGGAGTGTAGAGGTTTGGTTTTGAACTCCTTGATCAAGTAAGAGCTTCAGTAAAAGCTGAATTTGAAGCAGACGTTGCTTTTACTACATCTAATTCTTTTACCCGGCTTGCTGGCTCCAGGAAGCGTTTCATAGTCCAGCTGAGGTGAGACGAGGTCTCTCCTTGTTTGGCCTTCACACTAGGAGACGGACTTTTTTGTACAGCTCCTGTTAAACACAGCTTAGTTAGATGCCAAAAACTAAAGTTGTGGTCCATACATCCAAACAAGCTCCTCATTCACCTTCTGAGCTGGGGGCTGCACTGAATCCCACTTATTTATTATCTGAATTGCTTTCCTAAAGTAAGCTTTATTTAGTATTTCACCAGCTCTCTCTCAGATCAGGCAAAACATTATCACAGAGACACGTTATGCCAGCCAGGCCCAAGACAGAGCTACGAACAAGAGACGAACAGTTGATAGTCTTCCTCACCCACTGGAGCATGCTGCTGACTAAGTGCAACCTCAAAAGACAAATTAGCAGCCACTGGCAAGGTCTACTTCAAAAAAGGTCTTAGCTGACACAGATATAAAGAGGATAATTACAAATCTAACATTTATGTCTAAAAATCACCTTACTAGCCACTCTGCTATTGCCAAAAGTTTGCTTTCATCTGTAAGATTTTACGAAGTGCTAAGTCTAGAGTTAAAAAACATCAGACAAATGCCAGAGCACATATTTTGACATGATCTCAAAGATTAAAATGGAGTTAAAGCATATAGTCCAGTATGCAATATCTGGACTTTTTCAAATGGACACAACAATACTTTTTTTTTTTTGGTCATCTATATAGATAAGTGTACACACATGGAGTTGAATCCTCCTTTCCCTACTGGGACATTGTGCTTCCCATTCATCTTCAAGAGAGGATAAAGCAACTACCTCATGGCAACCCTACTTTTCAGATCATGGCAGCCTAGCAAAACAAAGCAAGTAACAGTTAATCCATTTGAACTGGATGTTTTTGCTAAAATTTCTGCAGTGGACAGAGTCATTATACCCCCTAAACTGTTCTGCTGTTTTGAGGGCCCTCAAAATATTCATGTTGGGGAACCCAAGAGCATGTCCTTAAGCCTTTCTGCATCTCGAAAAGGACACATATTGGGAGAGAACATGCTGATACCTGTGACGTGAGAGGAGCTGGCATCCTTGCTCTCTCGGTGGGTAGTACGTGCGATTGCTTCATCCATCTCCTGCTCAGAAACCTCAAGTCAAGTGGAAGACAGAGATCAAATTGGGTAGATGAAATGAAGAAAGTCTGACTGCTTATCACTACAAATATATGATTCATTTCAGATATGCTACTATTTTTAAAGATGCAGTAAGGAAGACCTAGTTGAGAGCTCCTAAGTCCTGGTCCTCTGATTCAGACTCCCTCCATGCCATCCTGCAGAAACCAGGATGCAGAATCCTGACGACTTTACAAAGACCACGTCCAAGTGCCACACTTTGCAAACAAATAAAACAGCACCAGACTTAAAGAAATCAAATGAAGCCATTACAGCACAATTTTAACTCAATTAAGTGTTGTACATTGATTTATGAAGAAAATATTACTTTAAAATAGACAAAGACTGCTTTGTACAGGCATACATCAGCAACAGAAGATATTCTACACTTAACCTACCGGAAGAATACCAGACTTCCTGAGATATTAGCTGCCTTTTTCATTTTCATTTCTCCTTGCTTTTAAAGAGAAAACCTAAATCAGTATTTGGTAATTAATGTTTCCCTGGTTTAAGAATAAATACTGGTTTTACTAATTTTGCTAATTTTGTTCTGAATTACTGCCACACACTTAATTCTTATTACTGGAAAACTCCATATAATTTTGTAACAGGAACAACCAGTCTGCAGGAGTATATATTTAAAAACAGAAAGTAAGTTAATTCTGTCAAAAATAATTTCTATGCACACTGCTTTACATGAATTAAAATTCAGCATAAATAGAGACTAGAAACTTGAATCCTTCTGAACCATGAAGATTTGAAGGATTCCTAAGCAAACTCAGCAGTTTAAACATAGTTTAAATGCCCCATTCACTCAGAATAACAAGAAAGAAAGAAAATTCTGTGGTATTTCTTTTGGAAGTACATGAAAACACCGAAGTGAACATATTCAGCAACAAAATGTACTGTGGACCTTCTGTGTCATAAAATGAGACATTAAGTATAAAAATGTCCAAAACAACATGAGCCTTTGTAGCAATACATCTCTGTTTTCAGCCTGTGCCATGACCTTACAGCAAACCAAAAGCTCCTGGGGCAGAGGGAGTTCCTATAGGACATGGACCAAACCCTGTGAGTATGCTCTAGGACCATTACACAAACCTTTGGGTACAAGATGTCCCAAGAGTAAAACTAGTGCTGGGCAGACTGCAGTATTTGTTTAAAGTTAACCAAAAAAATCACACTTCCGCAAACTCTGCTAATTTTGATTTTTAGCATCCTCTATGCTTCAGGCAGATCAAACTGGAGAGGGACAAGCTAATTCCTAACTACAATCTGCAGGCTGGGATATTATTAAGAGCTAATAAAATAACATAAAAAATACCCCACACACTTCTGTAGAACCCTCACTGGGTCAGAAAAAGGGTGACAGTGACATAACGATAAATATGGGTCCCCATATGGACACTCCTTCAGAGATCCAGCTATGAGGGACTGTGGATTCAACACTGCCTGGGAGGAAAAAATGCTTTAGGGTCTCTCCAGCTCAACTTTAGGTTTTCTTAGCATTTCTTGGCAAAGGATCTGTTGTCCTTTTAAATATCACTTATGGAAAACTGTACTAGGAGCCACTTAATAGTTTCCCTCTGTTACTGGGTAATAGCAGGCAATTAGCTTAACTCAGTTCATCTTCTCAGCAGATACCTGGTTAGGTCACTCGTTGGCTTTCAAGCCATCACCACAGCAAGATGAAGGACAGAGGAGAGAGGGAAGGCTCGACTCCATGGAGTTTTTATTTCATGCTACTTACAGACTCTCCAAAAAGTCTACATGCCTTAATAATGCAATCAAACTGAACCATCGTGCTGGTTTACCACAGCATACAGACTCCCTAGAAATACTGTTATCTTAGGCTATAAGCCCAATTCTTACCCTCTCCATGCTTACCTTTAACTAACAGAAGCACAGCCTCTTTCTTTTTAGCAGCACAAGGCCTCACAGCAATGATAATAAAGTCTGGGCAGTAGACCTCTGTTTGTCTATTGTTTGTATATTTGATTTAGCAGAAAATACACAATTAATTATAAAATAAGAAACCTGAGTTCTCCTAGATATGAACCTATTAAGGGTTCCATTTGCAGTTACGAGTTCAAAAGTCAGAGCTCTCTGGACCCACTAATGCAAATATTTTTACAGCTTCGTTCCTGTTTAAACAGGAAGGTTTTGTACACTCATGAAATTCTTTGAAATGTTGAAATAAAAGAAGTTGTTATTCTCTATAGCTTGGTTAAAAGGCTTTTATCTTCTATCATCAATTTTTAAAAATTGCTTGAAAATACTCACTTTGTAAACACAGCCTTATTTCCAAATCGCCCTTGCACAGATTTCACAGTAGCAGTACATTCCAGATTCTCACATTTTAATTCCTGAAGGAAAACTTTGATCTTTGGACAGATTTTGCTTTTTTAAAAACAGTATTCCTACTACTTTATTACAGTTGATCAGTTCAATCTGTTGATATTTATATTCCTGGCCCTAAACTATATTCTACTCAAAGACAAACTGACTGCAAAATAACTTTTAAGAGGAAGAGGACTTGTGCCGTATTTGCATTGCCCCTTGACCCAAGTACCGAGAAAGATGGGAACACTTCACTCGAGTAGTTCCAGGAAAATTGCATTTATTCAGTGGATGACTATGTGAAAAGCAGAAGGGACAGTCCAGCATTGCTACAACTTACAAAACTGGAAGGCATCATTACAATCCTGACTTCTTGCGCAACACGGGCCATAGAGAAAAAAATCCAATATTGTTCAGTTGCTGCTTTCCTGACAGCAAGACTGAAATTACAGCACCAGATAAAAACAATCCAAATACACTAACACATTTTCTCCTCACCTTTGGGTTAGGATGACGACTAATGATTAGGCTGACCGGACCTGGACCACATTCGCTCAGGATGGCGTAGGCTTCACTTAACGCCGCATGACGCAGACTCACTGAATCTGCCTCCAGTATCTGGTCACCTCGACTACAGAGAGACACAGAGTCAGTTAATCACAACTGTCTTTCACAAAAACATTTGTGCTTTCAACTGATGGTGAAGTTTCTTCAAAGATATAAAAGTCTGGAAAAGATCTGACTTCCAAAGAAGCCAGTCCTGCCCTTGCTCCCAGTGACATGAGTGCTTTAAGTGCTGTTGACTTCAGGAGGGAGGTCCAGAGATCCCTTCTGCATTTACTGTCAGTGCTACAAACCCTTTTGACACCGTCTCCCGTGGC